GGCGGAGGCCTGTCGGCCGGCATTCGGGCATGCTTGAGTGCAATGCTGCGACCGAATAACCAGCATGCCCATCGTTGAAAACAATAGTAATTCCATGAATGTAATATAACAAGAAGTCAGCATGCATATATGCTCTTGGGATATTCTGATGCGACTCCGGTTTACAGAGATGCATGTCTTTATTATTATTATTATTATTATTATTATTATTATTATTATTATTATTATTATTATTATATATATATATATATATATATATATATATATAGGGAGAGTAGTCAGCTATAAAATAAGTTATTCTGTAGCCACCTCCATTTACGATAATTTTATATACTAATTTACGATAATGTCAATGTATATTTACGATAGTTGGGTTACTATAATACATGGGGATATTTACCATAACGTTATAGTAAACCACTTAGTAAGGAGTTACTATAATCTCGTAAATTAACATAGTAATTATCGTAACTCAAAGTGGCTACAGAATAAGTTATTTTGTAGCCAACTCTCTCTCTCTCTCTCTCTCTCTCTCTCTCTCTCTCTCTCTCTCTCTCTCTCTCTCTCTCTCTATATATATATATATATATATATATATATATATATATATATATATATATATATATATATATATATATATATATATATATATATATATATATATATATATATCGTTGTGTGCCTCGGATGCGTGGTGTCTTTCATTTCTATACTTCCAAGCGAACGGTCAAATACACTATTACATTTGAATATCATTTCTGGATGGATGTAATATTAGGGATAGATATAGATATAGATACAAGTATAGATATAAATACATGTGGAGAAATTGAATTAGGGATAGACCATAGAGCTAGCTTGCAATAAAGGAGCAATGAACCAAACGGCCTATTCCCCATAAAGATAAATATGTTGTTCATCTCTAAAAACTGATGTAGATTTTTAACGACAGACACTTTGTGACCGCCTCCATAAACCAAAGGGCCTATCTCCTAGAACAGTGTGTTTTAGTAGTAATGAGGGTCAGTCTATCCTGATGCAAACGAAGCAACTCTATTCTCTTTAATATTAGTAGGGGTATGTATAGATATAGATATATATACAAAGAGATCGATATATATTTTTGTTATAGATGTAGATGAAGATATAGATATATATTGATGGAGACTACATTACCTAGTCGTCCTTCTATATAAACCCACAAAGCTAGTAGCTTGCAATCTAATGAAGGAGCACGTACTAGTATCATAGTACTAGTAAAAATCATCATCTCTCACTAGCTATGGCAGTCGTCAGCACAAGAAGCACCGTGCACTCGATGGCTGAAGCCGTTTTCGTCGCTGTCCTGCTAATTAATGTCCTCCGTCCTCATCATCAACCTATGCTAAATCTACGAGTACGCATGCATGATTGTTGCTCTACTGCTACGGTGCTACCCACAGCAATACACTTCAGCCTAACTAACTAACTAGAATCATCAACAGGGAACTAACTCATGCGGCGTCTTTGATGCCATTTGTTGTACTAACAGACTATGTTGTGGTTGGATGCATTATTGCAGTACTTCTTTTTTGAAATAGTAGAACTTTTTTCGTGTGACAGCTAAAACACTCATTAATACAGAACATAATTTACTACTGGAAACTGAAGTTTCCCTGTCAATATCGCCTCCGCCGATGGAAAAGTTATGTATTATCCTGTCGGTGGGTGACAACCAAGTGCAAAACTATAAAACCCATAGAAAAAATAGTTATTTCCCTATGTGGAGTATAAACCAACAGGAAATCAAATTTCCCTATCGGCACAAAAATAGACACACAGAAAAATTATTTTATTCCTATCTGTACTCAATTTTCTTTGTCGGTTTTATATTACACTCGAGACTAGAAAAAACTCACCATCTATATATTATGTATTATCTGTTGTATAATATGCCCATTGTGCATAACAGCTGACTGACACAATGTTTTATTTCAGGTATCGCTTTAGACGCCAGGACCTTATTAGTGACGGTAACGACACATTTTTCAGCCGGGTTAAAGGCACACCTATCCCTGTGGTGCTTGACTGGGCCATCAGGGATGACGGGTCCTGCCAGCCTCCGCCCCCAAACGGTGGGGCATCTGCGAAACCCACAGCTCCGGCTTGTGTCAGTGCGAACAGCTTATGTGTCAACGCCATACAGGGCGTGGGTACCTCTACAATTGCTCCGAGGGATACAAGGGTAATCCCTATGTCACTGGCGCCAACGGATGCACAAGTGAGTTTTTTTGTTTTCAAAAGGATGCTCATGTTAATCTTTAATTATAGTAAAAAGTCACACAAATTCTTTCATGTTTCCTGAACTGGTGACGGCCAGTATATGGTGACTATACACATATTCTCTGCAGGGGCATGTCTACATGATAGAGAGAGAGAGTTATGGAAAGTTTAGTCTTCTAGTGTCCATGTGATTTATTTTTTAGATTTTTTCCACCAAACTCTGGTTCAGTATAAAGGGAGGAAGAAAGTAGTGGCCAATGTAACAGTTAATGGTCAATTATTACATTGTAGTATATTTCCAGTTTAATTCTGTTTAGCAGCTATAGTTTGCTAAATATTCAATGTTCCCATCTAACTATTTGATTCCCATATATCTTTGATACAGATATAAATGAGTGTGATCTTCGGAAATCAGATCCTGAGAAGTATGAAAAACTATATCCCTGTTATAGTGGTAGCACATGCCATGATACACAGGGTGGTTATAAATGCAAATGCAAATTTTGACTAAGGGGAGATGGTAAAAGTGAAAAAAGGATGTCAGCTCATATTGCCCGTATGGGCGATACTAATATTTGGTGAGGATTTACTCATTGCATAATGATGTGCTAGCTCTTTCATTTTGTGATGGAAATTATCTTCAATTGGTATTTTTAATACTGTTGCTGGCTATGAAAAATTAAAAATCACTTCAATTTGTATAGTTGCACAATACAAAGGTATGCATGTGATCTAAGACTGGTTTATTCTTTTTTTATGCTACTCGTTATTATGACACAAGTAGCTGTACATGATAGTTTTTGTCTTCTTAAAATCATGATTTGTTCAATACTTTGTAAGGCATATATATCGAATGGATTTTGAGGTAAAGATGAAATTATTTTTAATGATAAAAGGGAACTGATGTATTGTTACCATTCCATTAGGTGCCTTTGAAATATTTTAGACGGTTTGTACCATTAAGAAGCATAAACGCTAAGGAGAAATTCTTAATTTAACAAATCCACTGCAACAACATAGTTTACAGGCAAGAAAATGTAATAGACAAGTTTTAGCACAAATTAATTTCAGGAAGGAATAATGCATTGTCTGCATGCAACTGTATGACTGACAATCGATCCTGTTTCACTGTGGCTGCAGCAATATTTATTGTCATCGCCCTAGCAACTTTCGTAATTTTAGAGGCTAAGAGGCGAAAGCAAAGGAGGTTTTTTTTGACAAAAACGGTGGTGACATACTCAAGAGCATGGGCATCAACATCTTCACGCACTACCGGAGACTGGCTCTTTGCCGAGTGCCAAGTGGTTTGCCGAGTGTTATTTTTCGGGCACTCGGCAAAGACGCCTTTACCGAGCGTTTTTTTACACTCGGCAAAGAAAATTTCAAAGCACATTTTGAAGCAGTAAATTAATTCAAATAAAAAAGTTTTCAACTACAAAGTTGTATAACTCATCAAGATGTACAATGTTTGTTTTGGTATTTTCTTCATATGACAAAGTAAAAATAAATTTGTTCACAAATCTAACATATCTCTCTCGTAGTTTATGAAACTACAAGAGAAATATATAAGATTTGTGAATAATGTTAGAACGACCATGTCGGATGAACAGATGACCAAACAACCAATATAAACTTTGTAGATCTCGAAAAGTTATGAAACTTTGTAATTGACAACTTTTTGATTTGAAATCATCTTGTCATGCAAAACTATGTTTGAATTTCAAAATTTTAAAATTCGAACTTTTCAAACGACCTCGGATGGAAAACAACCAAAATAAACATTGTAGATTTTGAAAAGTTATGAAACATTGTAGTCGGCAACTTTTTGATTTGAAATCATCTTGTCATGCAAAACTGTGTTTGAATTTCAAAATTTTAAAATTCGAACTTTTCAAACGACCTTGGATAGAAAAACAACCAAAAACACTTTGTAGATCTCGAAAAGTTATGAAACTTTGTGGTTTACAACTTTTTTATTTGAATTCGTTTAGGGCCTCAAACAAGCAATTTACACTCGATTTAGTATAATATATTGGGAACTAAAACGAAATCTAGACACAGATCAAAGTGTGGTGTAGTGGTAGAGGAGGTTCGCGCGCAGGGGGAGATTGCGGGTTCGAATCCCGCCGGCCGCGTATACGCGAAAAATACCGAAGATGGGTGGGGGCCTCCACCGATTAAAAAAAAATTCCCATTTTTTCAGGTTTTTTTTCAGTTCCAACTTTGCCGAGTGTCGGGCACTCGGCAAAGCCTTTGCCGAGTGCCCAACAAAAGACACTCGGCAAAGACACTTTACCGACGCAGTTTTTGCCAAGTGGTCTTTACCTCGGTAAAACCTTTGCCGAGTACAAATTGGGCTTTGCCACTGAGTCCGGTAGTGACGGAGGGTCAGCTGAAGAAAATCACAAACGGCTACAAAAACTCCATTGGAGAAGGTGCCTTTGGAAAGGTCTACAGAGGGATCACTGGTGATGCCCAACAGGTTGCCGTCAAGTGCTCCACTGCGAAAGGCGAGGTGCTTCCGCAGGAGGAGTTCGTGAACGAGATCACCTTCCAGTTCCGCATCAACCACGCTAACCTGGTCCGCCTCGTTGGATGCTGCCTAGAGACAGACGTTCCCATGCTTGTCTTCGAGTTTGTCCCCAGAGGAAGCCTTTACAGCGTGCTTCATGGCACAGGCAAGATGCACCCGCTGTCCTTGCCAGTGCGCCTAAACATCTGCACATGTTTCCTATACTCTAAGCTTGTCGATGGACTTGGAAAAACTGTTCGTATTCTGGGAATGTTTCTGTAATTCTTTCAACCAGGCTGTCTGGAAACGTTTGGGCCTGCAAAGCAGGACGTTTCTGCATCAGGGAAATAACCACCTCTTGTATGTCCACGTCATCTAGAGAGCCTGCGTTTACTCAAGAGGCAAGTGGTCATGAAACTATCCCCACATGTTTTAGGCAAAAAAGCAGATTGGGGTAACAGATGAAGGAACGTACCCAATTCAATGTCTTGGGTTTCTTCGTCAATGTCTCCTTCCTCGATAGCCTCGATTGACTCACCCGCAGCAGCTAGTGCATATCTTTCAAGGAATTCCTCTTCTGTTTCTTCCCGCACATCATCGTCGTCCGAATCCTAATTGCAGTATATTTATCTTATAAGCAGTGTGCTTAAGCCTGACAAAAAAATATAGAAAGCAGTGTCTTCATTCTATTACCTCATCATCGTCTTCGGTGTCTTCGTCTTCATCGTCATCATCAAGATCTTCAGCACCATCGTCATCATCATTGTCCCCATCCTCTTGAACTTCCTTCAGCTGAATGCAAGATTCCATCAGTGATACATAGCAGTCTTGTAACACTTTGGTGCCACCCATGGAAAGGGACATAAGATGGTTAATCACAGTTGATAATGTTAGCACTGCATCAAGGAAACAAACAATTAAAAGATGACCCATGTTCATAGGATGTCAGAGAGAGAAAATATCAACAGCGTAAAACAATGCAGTGATCTGTACATAGCCACTTACCAGCTAACTTGATCTCGGATTCAGATGACAGGCCAGGATTGAATGAGCTGCTTGAGACTTGTGCCAATGCAGATGTCCAGATTGCAAAACCATTACCATCAAATTTGTTCAAGACTTGTTCAATGGCATCTGGATAGCAAATGTAGCATGAAGATATTGCTAACAATAGTGGTTTCCATAGCCCAGCAGGACTGTCAGATATAGACTTGAAGCGGGAAAATGCTGCTTGTGCAAAGGATTCAGCAATAGTTTTTCTAGCATCTTGTGTTCCAAGGGAGAAATTTGGAGCGTGCAGTAGTGTATGGATGCATTAGCATGCCCTCCATGTTGCAGATGGGTAAGCTGCAATTGCCTTAGTCACAAAAGTAGAAACCCGACCAATGACTGAACTCTGTGAACAATTTCCAGACTGCGATGGAAGCATTTTCAGGAAGAAACCATCAAGGTCAAATCTTTGGTGGAAATTGACAGCTTCTTTAATTGCGTTGAAAACCCCCTGATCCTCCATTTCCTCCCAGGAGTCCCAGTTAGCAATAATGTCAGCCCATATAGCTACCAGCTCAAAGACCTTCATACTTGCAGTTTCTTCCGTGCAAGTAACAGAACTCATGACAAACTCAAGTAACACAGAAGCATCATTTACACATGACGGAGGTGGCAATGCAGAACCAATGTTCTCCTGAAATGAATGTTGAAAACGGTCAAGCAAATTTCACTGCATAAATTTTAAATTTTTGGAAATTCAAACATAGTTTTTCTTTGACAAGATGATTTCAAATCAAAAAGTTGTTAACTACAATGTTTCGTAACTTTTTGGGATCTACAACTTTAATTTTGGTAGTTTCTCCATCCGAGATCATTTACAAAATTTGAATTTTAAATTTTAGAAATTCAAACGTAGTTTTCGTTTACAAGATGATTTCAAATAAAAAAGTTATCAACTACAAAGTTTCATAACCTTCCATCAGATTTTCAATTAATAGATTAAAATCTTGATTGTTTGTCTCTCATATTTTATTAACATATTAACCTTCCATCATATTTTCAATTAATAGATTAACCACCATGGACCTGTTGGGTATTACATACTCACTTCGCCTCATAGTAAACACACATCTCATTTTATAAGAAGCGAAATCTTTTAAAGTCTGGCCTAATATATATAAAAATATATTAGTGACCATGATGAATAATAAGTGTTATTAGATTCAGCATAGAATTTACTTCTACAACAAAATTATTTATAGATACAGATGCAACTATTATTTTGTATATGTTTAGTCAAACTTAAAAAAACACTTGACTTCTAGAGAGATGGAACATGCGTTTATTTTGGGATAGAGGAAGTGTACTATAATTTATTTATTAATAAATTATACCAAGTGAATGGGATTAGTAGGACTCATCTGATATTTTATTAATACATATATCTTGTCTTATTAATATATAGATATTCTATTAACTAATTTGTTGCCAAGTGACGTGATTAATAAGGTCCAACTCATCTAAAATTTTATTAATTAATTGTGAATGTCGATAATGTGATATTTTTAATACACATATTTTGTTTTACTAATATATATACTTTTGTTGTCTAACTATGAACGTCAGTATTGCAGATATGATATTTTAATAATGCATTATCAAGTGACGTGAATAATAGGACTCGTCCCATACTTCATACTAACTGTGAACTTTTTTTTTTTGGAAAGGAAATAACTGTGAACGTTAGTACTCCGATCAAGATTTTCTCCAATGCATCAAAGTGCCGTGATTAATAAGATCCAAGTCTTCTGCTACATTTATTAACTAACTGTGAATGCAATAGTGTTATATTTTTAATACATATATTTTGTTTTATTAGTATATATTTTATTAACTAGCAATGAACGTCAATATTGCTGATATGGTATTTTAATAATGCATTACCAAGTGACGTGAATAAAAGGACTCGTCCGATGTTTTTATAATAATAACTAACTATCAACGCTAGTACTACATCAAGATTTTCTCCAACACGTCAATGTTTTTTCTCCTAAAAAACGTCAAGATTTTCTCTAGCACGTCGTAGTTTTTTCTCCTAAAAAACAAATTTTATCTATAATGGCAGAGGTGGGTAATTTCCTAGAGAACAAAATAGATCCAATGATGATAGATGGCTAGAGTCTTTGATTGGGTGGATTCATGTGAGAATTTCTAGAATTTATCTATTTTTCTAGCGCATCTAGTAGGGATTAACGCGGAGGCTTCATTGGGCGACTGATCAGTAATAGTAAGATAAGATTTGTGCACTGCTACTGTGTCCAGGGGTACTCCGACCCAAGTAGCTTAGTACATACGGAGGTATGTATACGTGGTATTCGTCCACACTAATCGTTGACATAATTATTTCCTGGCCCCTCTGCATGCGTAGGATGATATTTATTTAGAAACAAATGCGGTGACATCGTCGCCGCCGTCGCATGCAGTAGTTGGTCCCCTATTCTTGTGTCAGAACCCACTTTTACCAGAAAAAAGATATGGTGAATTAAAAGCATGCATGGTGTTAATTGAATTATATATATAAATGTAGCTAGTACTTATTTTGTGTGCGATTACATCAAGTGGCGCTTTGCAATGTTTCATATGGTGTTCCTCAATGAAACTTTTCCAAACACTGCGCCCAATAAAATAAAAAATTAATTTGGTCTTTAATAATTGTTGCAGTTAAGAGATCGGGGTATATATAGTTGCTAGAGAGACCAAATTGCCCTTGATAATATCTATCATGTCTTGATACTCAGTTTGCTCTTTTCTTAACGAGTCTAAGATGTTCAACCGACTATTGGCCATATCGATGACCATCAATATCCAGTGATTGTTGCATATGTTTTTATACACAAATATGATCGACATTAACTAGAGTCAACATATATATATATATATATATATATATATATATATATATATATATATATATATATATATATATATATATATATGGGATATAGCTTAGCTAGTAAGTAAATAATTGAACAAATGTCCATATGATCGACATTAATTATTTAACACTCACTTGAAATTGTAGGGGAAGAGTATGTCCTTGTTTTGTTGGTTTACTAAGAACCTCATGAGATTTTTCTCGAGTTCAGTTTTCCATTGAGGCGGGGGATTAGGTGTTTGAATACGACATTTGGATCAACGAAACCAACATCATTATCCTTTCTCTTTCTGAGTTCTATCATCTCATATCTGCATATATAAAAATATAGTATGAGGATATATAATTTATATATATACATGTAGCTTTATATATATACACTTTAATAGTAGAAAATAATCACACTTACATGGTGAGAGAGACTGTGTTGTGTGAGGATATATATAAGGAATTGCTCGTTACCTAGTGACTGTGTTGTTCGTCAAATGGCAATTGCGGAAACGCCATCTGACTGGACCGTGATGCTTAACAATTCTAACTGGTTAATTGTTGGTGTTGACCCAAGTATCTCTTATTTCCTACGACTAAAAAGACTAAAAGTAAGACTATTTTTTTGTGTGACTTTTTTTTTTGGGTCGCTCCTCCCTTCCGGCCATGCGATACCCCGTGCGATAGAAAAAGAAACTGCCATCCCTCGATCACCAGAGGCCACATGCATGGAAGGAAACAATAATCATGCATGGAAGGAAACAATTGGCAAAGATCAAGCAAGACGACTCCCTTCCGACCATGCGATACCCCGCGCGATAGAAAAAGAAACTGCCATCCCTGCGATCCCCGCCTGCTTTCAAGTAAACAAATCGATCAGCTGAGGCCACATGCATGGAAGGAAACAATAATCATGCATGGAAGGAAACAATTGGCAAAGATCCAGCAAGACGACTCAATGAGGTTGGCCCTTAATTTTAGTGTTTCCAGCATGCAGACCTGAAATTAAAAAGTGGCTACTCCTTGAGAACATCAATGGTGCCAAATAAAAGATGTGCAGGTTATACATGGTGAGAGAGACTGGTGAACCTTCTGCAATTTCCTAAACGAATATTCCCACCATTCGTATATTGGTCTATTCTCATGCGTTTTTCCGTGGTCCAATTAGCATATAATATGAAAGTATTGTTGTGTTCATCACGACTTCCAGTTGACTACTCCCATTAGCATATACTTCCTCTGCCCCTAAAATATAAGTCGTTATGGGATGTGTGCAGGTCAAACTTTCTCAACTTTGACTCGGTTTGTAAAAAATACGTGCAACATTTAACAAACAATTGGTCGACTCCTAAGGCCACATGCATGTAAAAAATACCTGTATTATAATTGGTCGAAGTTAAAAAAAATTGACTTCTCGGGAAGCGAGAATGAATTCTATTTTAGGACCGAGGGTGTATATGAAAGCAGTGTTGAAAATATTTTAACAATCAAGTTCGTCTCTGTCTGATTGGTAAGCTTAGACATCATAATGACATCAAAAAATTCGACTCTCATGGACACCCTCATGGATCAGTGCAAAGCATTCCAATCCTACAACATACACAAATGGCAACCTTAAAGACCATCTTAGACGTTCTGGCATTAGAGTATATACGTGCAGACACTGATCCATGTACTTTACTAAGGAATAACACATACCTGCAGCTAAATAATGTTTCTTGGGTTAAGCATGGTTAAATTCTGTTTTGAACCGCTATAATAACTTACACTACTACTGCATTTAGAGCCTACAGTGGTGGGCAAATCAGCTTTCTAATTAAATGTGGGCGGCTCACCCACCTCTAGGAAGTCATCTCTATTAAAAGGAATCGTTAACGCTAATTCGGTCACACAAAAGCAAGTGCCAAATTCCACAGGCCACATAGTGCCAAGACACGCGGCGGTATAATAAACAATGATGCTAACTAGGGGTCAGCGACGCCG